CAGCCGAGGACCTGGGAGGACTCCTCTCCATGGGGAGCCCCAATCAGATACATCTTGGCTGCAGGGCCCAGGCAGCCAGCCAAGAAGGGCCGGAAATAGTCCAAATACTCTCCTTCCTCTGATAGCTGAGGGGAGGGAGGCCCCTCAGAGAGGCCATTTTATATGCTCTTCAGCCGAAAGCCTTTGCTGTTGGGAATGGAGGTGGGCAGGAAGGAAGCACTCTGAGGACTGAACCAAGAAAGTGTCCTTCTACATGAATGGGCTTGTTAAAATCCGGTAGCCTCAGAGCTTGTCTTCTGACTTCCAGGCAGATGTGTGAGGAGTTCCTTTGCTGGAACACAAAGCTGTGTTAATTTGCAACAGTGATTCTTGGACCTGACCTTCAGGAAAAGGTTAAAAATAATGTTATCCTGGTAAAACTGGTCTTCAACTGTGTGTGTGCATGTATACCATGCTTAAGACACAAGAGAGAGACACTGTCCTCCTAGTGGTGTTAGAGGCAGTAGGATTGGGCATGATGAGAGAAGCATTATTCATCCATATGCCTCAAGTGGCCAGCCTCATCTCAGAGGGCTTCTGTATAACCTTATTTTCCATTTATTTGCAGAATACCAGTTAGAACATTTGTAAACTAGAAAATAGCTGTTCTAATGGATAAGGGGACAGGATTGTAGTTGTTTTGGCTTTTTAGAAACCTGCTCAATTCTGCACCATTTTCTCCTCAATCGCACAATGGGAGTAGGAGGGCTTCTGTTCTGTGTCTGGCCTTCTTAAATGAGGCCCACACTGTACCCACTAATGGTCACTTCTCCCTAAATCTTTAAAACTAGCAAAGCAGTTAGCTTTAGAGTTTATAGCCCATTACTCTTTTTTATCCCTTTGTTGTATACCATTGAGTTGGATCAGAAGCAGAGGAGGAGATTGCCCTTCTCCAAAGGAGCACCTGGTGGATTCGAACTGCGCACCTTTAGGATTGCAGCGCAGCTTCTTGGCACTAGGCCACTAGAGCTACCCCTCTTAATTCTTTGTTGGTCCAGTCATGAGGGAGGTCTTTTTAATCCTTTTTCTGGGTGGGAAAACTGAGGCTCAGAGAGATCGTGTGCTTTTCCCTCTTGTTCAGTTAATAACTGCAGTCTAGATACCTCCCTTTTCTTTATACCTTCCCTGTGAAGGAAACCATGCAGCCTTTCCAGTGGGGTGGAGTGGGCAGTCCACTGGTGTTTTGTGGTCTTCTCCAAGCCAGGTATTTGCAGCAAGGAGAACAAGTACACATCAGCAGTTGGGCAGGAAAAGAGGGCTGGGTGTCATAGGATTAAGTGGGGAGAGCAGCTGGTTAGGAGGCTCTGTGACACCCACTGGAATTCTGCCCTCTTCATTGGGAAACCATGTGTGGCGGAGTCCCCATAGACCTGTAATCACCTTGTTTCTGTGCTCTCCTGGGGAGGGAGATGATGCTCCTCCCACCCGCAATCACACATAGACGAGAGTGGCCTTCGTGTACCTGTCCGGGACACAGCCTTGAGTCCTGGCTGAAAGGAAGCATTTGGAAAGCTATTTGACATGCGTTTCCAATCCCATTCTGGTGTGTTGTTCTTTCTCACCTTTAAACCTCCAAGGTAAAACGGGTCTTGACCTGGCTCTAGGCCTTTCCCCTCCTCGTTATCTTGCTCTCCCAAAGGTATCTGCTGCTGGGAGCTGGTTTGTTTCTGGGCTTGGGGCCTGAAGGCCTGTAGCAGTGCTTCATCCAGTGCTTCATCCCTTTCACTTTGAATGGCCAGCCTGAAGGGGTTGGGGGGCTAGGGTTCAAACAGACACATCCTGGAGGAAGTGCAGCCAGTGCTTCTTGGAGATGGTGATGGTGAAGCTTGAGCTCACACACTGGTCATGTTGTGAGAAGAGGCTATTCCTTGAAAAATGACATCCATTATACTTGGAAAGGTCAGCAAACGAAAGGATTATGACCCTTCAATGAGATGGGTTGATAACAGTGACTGCAGCAGTGGTTCAAAAGAGATGATGAGAGTGGCACAGGGTTCAGATCTGTTCATTAGGGTCACCGTGAGTCATACTCGACTGTACCTAATAACAACAGAAACAGGGTCCAGACCATTTCCCAGCCATTTTAGAGAGAAATAGAGCAAACAAGAAGAGATCTTGAGAAGCCCATCCCAGCTGAGTTAAAAAGTCTATGATGCCTCGGAGCTAGGAGGCCTCACAAGGTGTAGTGATTGGGGGCAACCTTGGATCTGGTTGCAGCCAGACCTGGTTCCGATCCTGACTTTACTATCACTCTAGCTGCGTAGCCTTGAGCACATTGCTTAACCCCTTGTGCCTCAAGTTTCCCTTCCAGAAATGTAGTGAGGACTAAATGAAGTAATAATGCCAAGTGTCTGGCACAGGTCTAACCCTTCATCAGTTCACAGTGAACATGACTGAGGAACAGGAAGACCAAATGGCTTGTCTTTAAGATGCTCATCTCCTTAAGGCCTCAGCCTACCTCATAATGTAAGCTATTTCCTACTCTTCTGGGCTGCTGCAAACCAGTGGCAACTTTCACCTGTCTGTCTTTATAGAACTGGCAGGCCCTTGAAATCTCCCTGGTTCACTCATTCAGCTAGTCAAAGTAACTGAACACCTGCTACACACAGCCGGCCTGAGGCTAACCAATATCCCAGGCTTAGGCCATCGCAGGCATGTCCTGATGGGTGTACAGAAGCAGTGTTTATAGAAGACAGACAGGCAGACTGGGAAGGATTGAGGGAAGTGAGGCCCCATGGTAGAGGTAGAAGTGAAGGACAGCTGGGGTGTACTGACCCTGCTGTTGTGGGTCTGGGGTAGTATTCTCCCCAGGCATACTACAGCCCTGTGCTCTGTTCCAGACACCATCCCCCTTTGTGCCCCTGGGGTCAAGGCATTTGTAGTCTCTAAGACTGGGGACTGCCTGGTCACATTGTGTTGTTCAGGAGTCCTTTCACCCCCCCCCCCACACACAGAGTCCATACCACGCCGAGGAGTGCCCCCATCTTTCAAGCTCTCTATCTAGGGGTGAAGCATTTCTGCCCTCAGGCCTCCTGCAGTGGGAGCAAGCCTCGCCTTGGCCCTGGCCAGCTGCCCTCTTCACCCCCCTGCCTCTCAGGATTACTCAACCTTCACAGCATCTGTCACTAAGATGCTGAGTGCATTCTTGATGGCCTCTCTTCAGGAAAGACCCAGGCTGTGTGGCCTTTTAAGAAAGACTGTCTGCTCCAATTAAGCCTCTGATTGTGGTTCTGTGTGAAGAAACCATAAACCAAAGGAAAAGCTATGGTTTAGCTTTGGCCTTAGAGCTTTTGTCAGCATCTGCTCTAAGTCCCAGGACTTGGAATTTAATGTGGGCTGTGCAGGCAGCAGGGAACCTAGCCTTTCCCTCTAGTTTTGCATGAATAGGGGGGAAATTTCAAGGAGCCTTTCTTCCTGCCGGCTTTGAATGCTCGCTCGACTGTGCTCTGGATTTTGTCTCCTTAGCACACGGACCTTGCATATGTGCCTAGTGCAACTTCTTTCTTGGGATAGAATCTATCTCTGATCCTCTGAAGTCTTAACTTTTCCACCAGGACCAAGAACTTACTGAAGAGTGGTCAGGTTTTTCGAAGGCCCAATCATTTACTAAAAGATTTCCTTCCAGTGGTCATACTCATAGCAGAGCACCTAGCGGTAACTTAGGGAGGAGGCTAAAGTGAGCTGTCTGGACTGACAGATTGAAGAGCCACATGGTCCAGAATGCCTCTGTATGCCCCTGCAGGAAGTTCTTGGTCCTTCTGAGTTAGACTGCTCTGGAGGAGCCTTTACCCTTGATCTTGGGGTATAGAATTTTAATTTCTCTCCTCCTTTCTCCTCTTCAGGGGCACAGGCAGCCCAGTCACTGAACATTAAATAACTCTCATTATCCATAACTGCAGGAGGCACCTTGGTTTGTGTTCTAAATACTGAATGGAAACTGTGTGGCCCCGTCACATTCTTTTGCCCTTCCTAAACCGTACCCCTCAAGGAACAACACAGAGTTGTTATAGGGCGTGTTCTGTTGTATTTTTCCCACAAAAACAGAGACTTTGCATTTTATTTTCTTGTAGATGAGTTCCCAAACTTTATAATGGAATGGAGTGGAATTAATCCACTTCAGGTCTGGGACACTAAAGTCCTCAAGGAGGGGAACAGTCTGTGGCTCCCATGTGTGTGGTTTTGCAGCGCCACCTGCTGTCCCACCGTTCTGTAACAGAACAGCAACTCCTAACCTGAAAGGGACTAACCTTCTGTATGATGAGTAGTTTCCTGAAAACCTGTATTAACAAATTCAAGAACTGAGTTCGAGGGCACCATCAGCAAGCTGTTAATGGAGCAGCCAAATACTTGGATTCTGTACCTGGTTTTGTCTTTGGGGCTTCTGCCTGTAGAATGAAGTAAATCTTATACAACTTTGGGTTTCCTGGTCTCCAGAACTAGAGAGGCATTCCTTCTGTCTTCTTTAAAAAGAAAATGTTGGAATAAAGAATTTCAATGTTTCTGTGGAAGCAGATCTTCTGGGCTACTTATTATAGCAGCTTCCTATTTTTTAAAAAAAAAGTGTGTGTGTGCCATCAAATCAGATCTGACTGGTACAGGAGGAGATTGCCCCTCCTCCAGCAGAGCATCTAGTGGATTTGAACTGCATACCTCTGGGATTACAGTGCAGCTTCTTGGCACTAGGCCACCAGAACTACCTTATGGCAGCTTTCATACAAATGGTTTTTTAAAAGTCTTCCTGTGGTCCAGCATTTCATTCTAATACTCAGCATTTTATTTGGAGATTAATTTGTGTATTTCTTTTATTAGCATTTTAACAAAGTTTTTAAAAGAACATGTACGTTTCTGTACTGTGTTTGTTTCCTTACCTAGCACACACTGATTTGGTGAGGTTTACAGACTGTAGAGGAAACAGGCATGGGGTGCCGCACCTAATACCTCTGTCATTCCCTCTGCTGTAGGCCTGGTTTCCAAGTCCTCTCCCAAGAAGCCTCGTGGGCGTAACATCTTCAAAGCCCTTTTCTGCTGTTTTCGTGCTCAGCATGTTGGCCAGTCCAGCTCCTGTACTGAGCTCGCTGCATACAAGGAGGAAACCAACACCATTGCTAAGGTACTTGTATCAGGGTGGCCAGGATGCAAGAGAAGAGGGATTACTGAGGGGAGATCACTGCAGACTAATGACTAGTAGGTATGACTTTGCTGAGGTTGGAGAAACTGCCCTTCTCTCAGTTGACAGCATCATTTCTGATGCTTGCCATGTGGGGTATAAGCCTCTACACTCATATGTCCTTGTGATTTCTGAGGGCCTCTGTGATCTAAATTCTTCCAGCTTCCAGAAAGTGCTAGATGTTTTGCATGACCCCTACAGCAGCCTTCCTAGGAGATTGACGATAATCCCTACTTCACAGACATGGAGACTCTGAACCTAAGGGCTTAAATAGATTTTTGAAGAGCTCGTGCAGGTTAATATATGGTAATGTCAGGATTTGAACTCAGATTATTATGGCTCTAAAACCTTTGTTATTGTTGTTTCCTACTATATAAAGCTATATTCTAAGTCCCTAGACTTGAAGGACACCAAGAAACTGAAACTCCTCCTCTGGTCTACTACGTTTCTCCCCCATTCCCCCCCCCCAATTCTTGATAAACCCCTTCTAGCAGCTCTGACTTGTAGTTAAAGACATGCACACCAGTGAAAAGTCACCTGGTTATTATTGGGGGGGGGGCATATAAAATAAAATGCAACACTTTTACAATTAAATAACACAGATATTGTTAAAATTTTTAAAAATTATTATTATTTTGGGGGCATGTACCACCCAATTGAATCTGACTGGTACAGATTTCCCCTACTTCTCCAGCAGAGCATTTGGTGGATTTGAACCATGCACCTCTGGAATTGCAATGCAGCTTCTTGTCGCTAGGCCACCAGAGCTCCCTTGTTACAAATTTTTTTAAAAACAATAAAATACAACAATACTGTATGACTTAATTTTTGCAAGTTTACAATATTTATTGAGTTTACAATATTTACTGTTGAGTTGTAACACTGTCAAAAGGCAGAGTGTGAAATCAGCATTAAAGTTCCCATGTGGTGAAAAAAGCCAAAATACTAGTCCTTTGAACCCACCCACCAAAGGCGCCTCAGAACATAGACCTGAAGATCTTCAAAGAGGGCCCAGCCTTAAACCCTATGGGGCCCAGCCTTAAACCCTATGGAGCACAGTTGTACTCTTGACAAAAATGGGGTCACCGTGAGTCAGAATCAACTCGACAGCAACAGGCAATGACATGCATACTTTTACTCTCTAAGGAAAAAAGACTGCCAAGTCAAGCTCGAAGGGAATCTGCTAAGATGCCAACGTTGTTTTTTTTTTAGGTGCTAGGATTTTTCCTTCAAGATTTTCATCGCGAACATGTAATACTTTTTACAACCATAACATTAGCAAAAGGAAAGGCTTTTAAATCTTTCTGCACTCCACTTCCCTGTGCTCTTCAGCTACCAACAGTGTGAGGTGATGTTGGATTGTTTGATGGGAATCAGTACTCACTCATGTTTATCCCCTAGAGGGATGTTTAAAAAATATTTTTTCAAGAGAAGCCTGGAGTCAGGGATTGAGCAAGAGATTAAACCACTGAGTAAAGAGTTGAAATCTTGGTTTTAGTTTATATCCTTCAGACTTCTGTCCAGCCCTGAATCCATTTGTCCAGCTGATGACAGGAATAACATCTTCCCCATCTCATTCAGATCTTGTGTGGAAAGGAAACTGGACTTTTCTCTTTCCCTTTCCAAGAAAAGTTTTATCACGATAAAAGCTTTTGAGTTGCCCAGGTCTTTAAGAGAAAGTTGTCCTCTAAGCTGGGTATAAACAGTCAGTTGGGATAGGGGAAACACTGAAGTTGGCACTAACCTCCTCCTCCTTTCCTTCAGTCGGATCTACTCCAATGTCTCCAGTACCAGTTTTACCAGGTATGTGAATCTGGAAGAAAATGCTCAGAATCCCAGAACCAGGTGATCCCCAACTTAATTCTCAGTGAAACTTCTCAGGTGTCTTCAGTCCTTGGTGTCTTACTGGTTGGTCACCTCCCCACCTTGCAAAGCTGTTCCAAATATTTGTTGAGAGTCCATTATGTGAAGATCATATTAGACTTGGGCATACGTGCTCTCTTGCCATAGCTCATGTTCATCCCACCTCTTAAAAACAAAGCAAACAGCTGTATCCTCTTTACCTCCTGACAATCAACTAGTGCCACTCCTGGAATAGTGAAGTTAAGGGTCTTCTGTCTCTAGGATCAGCCTGACATCCTAGAGTTCTTTTGGAAAGAATGTTTTGGGGTTGGGCTTTCTTGGAGGTGAGATCGCAGCAGCTTGGCATTGCTTTCAGATTCCAGGGACCTGCCTGCTCCCAGAGGTGACAGAGGAAGATCAAGGAAGGATATGCGTGGTCATTGACCTAGATGAAACCCTTGTGCATAGCTCCTTTAAGGTAACTCAACGTTGGGGCCCCCTTTTTTGTGAGCCTGGCTATCAGTGTTTAAGGTAGCCTGAAGTCGAGGATAATGGATGGCTGGGAAGGTGTAGGAAGCAGGCTCTGGCATTTTGGCCTCCCAACGTATATGTTAAACATCTGGAGACCACACTGATGAGTGTTCAGTAGGAGGCCTCTCTTTCCCAGCTGCCAATTCCCGTGGCCACACAGAGAAGAGCATGATCAGGGCTCCATGTAGAGCAGGCCTATGAGAGTAATTCAGTCAGTCTTGGACTGCCCCTCTCTTACTTTAAAAAAACAGTGTTTGTTACTTAAGAAGGTCCCCAAATCTATTGGAGCTGAGGTAGTTGGAAGAGGAGGTAGGACATGAGTAGGGAAAACCATGAAAGGACTGCACTCTGTCCTGAGGTAGGAGGCCCTTCTGGAGTCTAAGATCCTCCCAGACAGTGCCTGTGCCCAGGACTGCCTAGCTGTGGTAGGGCCTCCTTGTCTCCTCTGTTCCATGCTCACCTTATTAACTTCTGCCTTCCAGCCAATCAACAATGCTGACTTCATAGTGCCTGTAGAGATTGAGGGGACCACTCACCAGGTGAGCTACCTGCCCAGCTACTCCCAGCCCAGAGGACTCACACACCCTCACAGCTTGTGTAACGCAACCCTTTCCTTTGTTACTGATGACTACATACCTAAGGCTTCTTCTCATAAATTTGTTTTTTGTCCTCATGTGACCCTCTTAATTGTCACTCTCTTTTTTTCTCATTGCTGTCTGAAAGAACAGTTTTCATTAACAGTATGATTAAAGTATGATTAAACAGTATGATTAAAAGTATGATTTGCCACCCTCCCTTGTGGTAGCACTGTTCTTTTTTTTTCTTTTTTTTTTTTTTTTTTTGGTAGCACTGTTCTTTTGTGCTGTCGAGTTGGAACTGACCCATAGCCGACTCTTCAGCAGGTTTTCAGAGGCAGTTAATCACACAGGAGGAGATGGCCATGCTGCAAAACAGCTGCTAGATTTGAACCACACAGCTTTGGTATTGCAGTGCCATCAGAACTCGCTGTGACAGTACTGCTAAATAAATATTACATATTTTTCTAAGTCTGAATAGTAGCTATGTCTTCCTGTTTTCTCTGCATGGAGTACCCTCTCTCCCATGCCTGCCCACCTACATCTCACTAGTAAAACCTGTCTTCCAGGCCAAGCATCTTCCACTCTGAAACCTTCCCAAACTCCCTTGCCTTGGGCCCCTGCACTGCATTCTAACAGAATATTTACTGAAGTAAATAGCGGAATGAGTCTAACTTAAAAGATCACATTCTATCCCTACATAGCCTGCTCAGTCAGGCAGTTAAGGATCATGTGGCATTGGTAGTAAACGACCATTTATTTAAATATTTATCCAGAATGACTATCCATTAACCCAGCCATCAGAGAGCAGTGGGAACAGATGCCCTGATGATGCTGATAATTGTTACATGGCCTCGTCAAACAGGGCTACTTTTAGAGAGGTGGGATTTAAATTTTCCATGGGTTTGATTCCTATCCTGTGCTCATTAGTAGATTTTTTTTTCATCCCCTATACAGAACCAGGCTTGGCCCGTGGACTACCCAGACCCTGCCCACCAGCCCTTTACAGTCTGCTTGAGGATATATTGTTGGGTTCTGTTGAATCGGTTCCAACTCAGCAGCCTGTATACAAACAAAGCATTGCCTAGTCCTGTGCCATCCTCAAAATCATTGCAGAGTTTGATCTCGTTGTTGCAACCTGTCAGTCTCATTGAAGGCTTTTTCCCCCCACTGACCCTTTACCAAGCATAATGTCCTCCACACCGATAACATATCCAAAGTACATGAGACAAAGTCTTAACCGTTTTTGCTCTTGACTATTCTAAGGCCTATTTGTTTGTTAAGGATGCAGAGACAAGACTCATGGGGGAAAGACTGGCAGATTTTCAGACAAATACACTGACCCTCTTGGTTAATAAAGAAGGAGCAGAGATAATAAAGAGATAAGATTCAGAAAGCAAATGTTGGGTAATAGTGGCGGTGAGGGAGGAGGAGCATGAAGGTAAAGAAATAGCAGCCCAGTGGGAACAATGATGTGAGTGCTGGAGTAGAGGGCTCCTTCTGTGCAGTTCAGGGAGGCTGGCAGTTTGGCTTAGTCTAGGAAAGGGAGTCAGTGCCAGGCAGGAGATTACAGATGTAGGCTTACTAAGCTAGGGAAGTTAGCATAGATGGGTGGTTTAACTCTACCAGCTGCTCTTCAGGAGGAAGATGAACTCTCACTGTGGAAGGTCAGCTGTGAGTATGTTCCAACTCAAGGCAGTAAGTTTGATATAAATGGTTCTGGTAGTAGCTATATAGGCTGGATGAGAGGGATACAGATATGCAGGCAGGGAACAAGTAGAATGCAGGTGGTTAGTTAGGGTAGAGGACATTTAGCCAAAGAACCCTTTAGGCCAAAATGTCAAGATCAGAGTGGGTAGCAGTATTGGGAGTGTACATGAACTAGGGGAGCTGCATGTATATGGTCTGAGGTCATTGAGGGGAAAAGGTCACTTCTTCCTGCTCTGTCTTCAGATAGCTCTGTGAGAGCGAGGGTTTTCAGGAAATATTTGCATTGTGCTAGTGGTGATCTGGGCAAACTGTCCTGCTAGAACAGAACGGGAAGCTCTGCAGAGGCTGTGGCTGGATTCAAGTAATCCAGGATAGGCTGTTTCCATCTGTGAGGCCTATTCTTGATTACTTGTTTCTAGAGGCAGCTGATGGTCCACTGCTGGAAACAAAGATGGCTCCTGGGACACAGGCATGTATTTCTTCTTGAGCTCAGTCAAGGTGGGGAACAGAAAACTGGGTAGGGACCTATGTCCGTGCTCTGCTATTTGGGCCAGAAGGTCTAATCAGGTGGTCTGAGTGGCTAGGGAGTGGAAGTTAGAGTAAGATATGAGCCTGCTTGCTGTGTACTCTGTGTAAATGGTGAAAAGAGGAGGGAGGCCTTTGTGCTTCAACCACACAGAACAACCTCCAGCAAACCACTGTGCTTTTCCTCAGGTGTATGTGCTCAAAAGGCCTTATGTGGATGAGTTCCTGAGACGAATGGGGGAGCTCTTTGAATGTGTCCTCTTCACTGCCAGCTTGGCCAAGGTACCTGGGAGCAGGTGCGGGGAGGAACCAGAAGCAGAAATGGCTGTGTGAGGGTGGGGACCTGGGCTGTGTCTCAACAAAGGCATCTTCTCTCCTCCCAGTATGCTGACCCAGTGACTGACCTGCTGGACCAGTGTGGGGTGTTCCGGGCGCGCCTCTTTCGCGAGTCCTGTGTGTTCCACCAGGGCTGCTATGTCAAGGACCTCAGCCGCCTGGGGAGGGACTTGAGGAAAACCCTCATTCTGGACAACTCACCTGCTTCTTATATCTTCCACCCAGAGAATGCAGTGAGTGAAGGGTCCCAGCCCAGGGACAGAGGAAGTAGAAACAGGGGGACTTAGCAAAGAGGCACACTATCCTGTCAGACCCAGGGTGAGAGAAGGGAAAGTCTTGGTCATTGGGGAACTTATTCCAACCTTTTTTCTATGCCAGGTGCCTGTCCAGTCTTGGTTTGATGACATGGCAGATACTGAGTTGCTGAACCTGATCCCAATCTTTGAGGAGCTGAGTGGAGCAGAGGACGTGTACACCAGCCTTGGGCAGCTGCGGGCCCCATAACCTTCCCTGCTTCCCAGCAATGGCCATCTCAGTAGGGGACTTTGCTACATTGTGCCTTTATGATAAGTCAGAGTGAAAGCTGCAGCCCCTCTTTAGATGGGGCCTGTATATAGTGAGAAGTGGTTGGAAAGAGCATTATTAGGACAGATTACATGCCAAGTAATGGGCAGGTACCAAACCAATAATAC